AGAGCCACTGGCTTCAAGATGTGCGAAATTCAGGTTCAAGCCACTTTCTGAAGAAATATTGAGCAGTCGTATATTGTACATTTGTAAAGAAGAAGGTCTCTATCTTGACACAGAGGTGTGGAGTTATGCCATAGCACTTATCTTAGAAATAAATTTTGCCAAAATGACTTATGAAATAGTTGATTTTTGTTTGAAGGCTCTTTCAACTTTAAGTTCTATATCACAAGGTGATCTTCGTCGGGCAATTACATACTTGCAGGTAGGAGGTTGTTTATTTTATCACAATTGGTCTTGTTATTTATCTTTGTTGTATCACTTTTTATTTAAAAAAAAAAAAAATTATCTTTGCTGTATTGCAATAGATTCTGTGTAGGTTTTAACGAATCTTATTTGTAATTACATCAGGGTCTCCTATTCTTCCTGTTTACAATGACTTGGAAATTCTTGCATGGCTATACCTTAAGACCTTCTCTCTTTTCTATTTCCTGCTTTGTGAATGAGCTCCTGCCCATCACTGGGAATCATTTAATTGTTATAGTGCTATTTGAAGTCATTTCAGTTGATCTGTTAACTTCTCTTCGAATTAAGGACATGGAGTAGATTACATAGGAGCACCCTTAAAGAGAAGAATAGAACAGATGACATAAAAGATAGAACTTTTAAAATTGTTAAGGATTATTGTAGTCTTTTGCTTGGACATAGAGAGCTTATAGGCTTTCTAAAATAGAAGTTATGCTCTAACAGTTTTCTAAAAACATGACATAAGAGCTTAGGTTATAAGTTCTTTTGTGATTTACCGAACACATAACAAAAATAAAAATGTTTTTCCAATGCTAATAAGCTCATTTTGAACAGATAAGCCAAGGCAAACACACTCTCTTAGTGATTGAATGCGAGCAAGTCTGTGTGAATATTCTTCCAATTTTTTTCTGCTTTTTCTTCTTCAAAGAGGATTTGGTCAATGGTTTGCTGGACATTTCTGCAAATACTCAAAATACATTCTTATCTTTTGGTTGAGAAGTTTTTTCATCCAAAAAACTAAAAAAGAATCTTTTAGTTGAGAACTTTTGTTATCCAAAAAAATAAAAAGGAATCTTTTAGTTGAAAACAGATACAGATGAAATTCTAAATCTGTCTTGTGATTTTCTCGTCCTTATTAAAATTACATTTTCATCTTGTATATAAAATGTTGATCTGCTGCTGTTGCATTTCTTTCTGATCGGTAATGTAGCTTGTGTATGGTTATGCTGAATCTTTGTTACAAATATTGCAGGGAGCAGCGCGCTTATTTGGATCAACAATTTCTTACAAGGATCTAATTAGTGTGTCTGGGGTAAGCAATACACTTCAAAGATTTCGTGGGTTTCAGTCAATTTACAATTACTGGGAATTTCTCGAGATATATTTCCCTTCAATGCTTAGCATTGTAAATTAATTTTGGCTGGTTATAAGTTGATGTTTGTACCATTAATCTTTAGTCTGTCCAGCAGTTAAAGTCACGATCGACAATTCTGGGGGCTGACATCAACAGAGTCTTAGTTCTTGAATGTATAAGCACTGGCTATGGATATATAGGAAATTTTGAGAGTTTAATGTATAAGCAAGCACTGGCTATGAACATATAGGAAAATTGAGAGTCTGAGACTGGATGTTGGGTTTTATTAAAAGAAAGTGGAAACTAGAAACACAGGATTTTCAAAATTGTATATGGATATGTTTTTCGGGTGCTTCGGGTTATAGCCAAAGTAGGAAGCTATTTGCACTGTTCATAGTCCTTAAAATCAACTACAAAACTGATGTTCCCTCTGATTTTGATCATCTTTCTAATTCTATTGTGAGACTACAGCTCTCCATCATGTCCTGATTCCTACATTCTTTCTTATCAGGTCATCCCCCAGGGTGTTGTGGATGAACTTTTTGCAGCATGCAAAAGTGGTAATTTTGATTTGGCTAACAAGGAAGTCAGTAATATTATTGCAGAAGGATATCCAGTCTCCCAGATGCTTTCTCAGGTTCTCTTTTTCTTTCTGTGCCCATATTTAATTATTATTGCTTAGTTTACTACTAGATGCGTTACTTCTAACACAGTTTCTTTCAGCTATTTGAGGTGGTTGTTGAGGCTGATGATATATCAGATGAACAGAAGGCTAGAATTTGCAAGAGTTTGGCTGAAGCAGATAAGGTCAACACCCCTTCTCTGTTCCAATTGTGCCAGAGAGTACATTAAGTTTTCAGTATTGGTTTTCTATTCGTCGAAACTAAAAATTGAAATGGATTAATTGTTATAGATACATTTTAACTTAGAGGTTGAGGAAAATGAATACATAATATGGCATATAGATATCATGTTTTGTTTCCACTATTTGCCCTAGAGACAATGTAATCGAGAAATGCCATTGATTTGGCATGAGGCTTCAACTTTAACCTTAGGAAGCTGATATTTTTTAAAGTCTTTTTTTTTTTTTGTTTTAAAGTTAAATGCCAAAAAATTATGTAAACAAAGTGCTGACATTGCATTTACTTCTGGGTGCAGTGTCTTGTAGATGGTGCAGATGAGTACTGCAGCTGTTGGATGTTGCCAGCAATGCAATACGTGCCCTTTGCAATATGCCTCAAGAGTCCTCATATGAGAATTAGATTAATCGGAAATCCTTAACAGAATGTCAATACGCATTAAACATTGCGAAAATTAGTAGGATAAATCTCTTGAAAAATATTTTATCTAGTTTGTAACATGTGCTTCGGATAACTTTTTACCGCGTGGTCTTACTTGTGGGATGTAGCTCATCTTGATAGAAATGTGAAGGCAATTTTGCTGCTTACTTGTTTAGAACAGTTGTAGGTCAGAGGACCGAGAACAAGAAGTTCAGTAAAATATTTTCAGCGGCAAGAATGTGTACATACACTCCACTGTAAGAGAGAGAATGAAAAGGTATTTAGTGAAGTATTGTGGAAGTAATTTTGAAAGTGTCAATGTTAAGGTAGGTAGATGGTGAAAGAGTGATGATTAACATAGAGGACTGTAAGTGGTGAAGGCATCATGAAGCTAGCGTGGGATAAACAGTCATCCTATCGTTACAACAGTCTTGTCACATACACCATCATGGCCATGTTTGAATGCATTATGATCTTGTCCGTAAGAGAATTTCCTCTGTTTATTTTCTTGGGATATTTTAGTCAGTGTAGCCAAACATTCCTGAGGCATGAGAAAATAGTTCGTTTTGACAAATCAATGATGGAAATTTCTTCATAGAATTAGATCCAGAAAAGAAAAACAAAGAAGATAACTCCTGATTAGGGGGCCTTTTTTGGCTTGTTAGAAGAAATTACTCTCTGTTTCTCCAGGGTTTATCATCTTAATGATCTTTATGGGCTCCAAAATCTTTGAATTTTCAACAAGTTTCATGTTACTTGTCTCACTTTCTCCCAACTAGAAAGTTTGGCATTTATAAAACCAAGTCAAATACGAAAATCCCTCTACTTGGCCCACAAACCCCACTTCATGCCTCTAATCTCGCTGATAAATCCACCTCTTCCCTCCCTTCTCTTCAATCCTCTTTATCCTATATAAGCACCAACCCCAAGTGTAGATACATACAACATGTTTCTCTAAAATACTACTTCAAGATTTTCAGAACTTGCTAATTAAAATCCTTCAAAAATTCATGAATAATTGTTATTTAAAGGTTGTCATCTATCAAAACTGAAGTTGTTAAAATGTCCCTTTTTTTGAATAGTAAAACTTAATTTCTTTTTAAGTTTTTAAAGAAGCGGAGCAAAATAAGAAATATAGAATAGAA